CGTAATAGCCAGTTATTTTCTTTTCTAAACTTATCAGCTATGATATGTTGTCTAATCTCCCTAAAGCTATGAATTGTACTTATTTTCCAATCCTTTGACTCTATTCATTCTTCCTCTTCAGCTGCTCATTCATCTGTGAGTTGAGTGTGATGGCTTTCTGTCTTGGTATTCGTTTTCTGAATTCATGGGGATTACTACTAACTATGCTTTGTGATTGAAAATCCTAGTTCCCATTTCCATGGATCAGGTTCTCATTATGGGAGCTTCTCTCTGTGGGTGTGCTGAAAGAAAGACGGTGTGCTGCCATGTGGAGGTGGGGCTAAGATGCATCTTTTCAAGGGTGAGGCTCCCTGGGAGCCTAATCTGAGGGTGTCTTAATATCCAGTCTGATGAAAAGTGCAATTTGGCTGCTCTCAGCTTCAAAGCAGTAGTAGCAAAGGGTCTCCATATGCAAGTTCCCAGGAACCCACCTGGCCATGGCCCTCGACCTCTCCTGGGCCCTGGATTTGCTGATCCTGAGCTCAGAGAAGCCTCAGAATCCTTTTCATTTCCTTAGCATGTAAACTTTTCTAAAGTGTTGTATCAATTGAATCTCATAGGCTTTTTCCCCTCTTAGAAATTCTCAACATTTTTGGTTCACTTAAGGTGAGAAGCCACTTTGGTGTGGAGAGTCATCCTGGAGAGGGTTAAACCAGGCTGCTCCTTGGAGGCAAGGATTCTGAAGCTTCGTCTGACATACTTTGGTCATGCTGGTCCTTGGAGAAGAACATCATGCTTGGGAAGGTGGAGGGCAGGCGCAGGAGGGGAAGGCCCTCTGGGAGATGGATTGATTCTGTGACTGGGACAATCGGGATGAGTGTGTCAGAGACAGTGAGATTGGCACAGGACAGAGCAGAGTTTAGAGCTGTTGTACATAGGGTCGCTATGAGTCACAAGCGACTTGATGGCACATAACACCAACAACAACAAGAACAACAAAGTGAGAAGTGGTGCTGCAATCCTGAAGGCACTCAGTTTGAAGCTACCAGTTATTTCACAGGAGAAGGATGGGCAATCTCCTCCTGAGTGATTTATTGCCTCTGAAAACCCGTTTGAGGGTTAGCTATAGGTGGGATCTGACTTGAAAACACACAACACCATGGCACTCTTGAGCCCTGATTAGTGGCTAAGCAGATTGGTGCAGTGACTAAATACTTAGATGATAACTGGAAGGTTTGTGGTTCCAGTCTGTCATCCGCTCCAGTTGAGAAAGATGTATCAGTCTGTTTCTTTAATGATTTATATACCTATGTAAGCCCAATGGGAGCAGTTCTACTCTGTTCTGTAGCTGTTGTTGTTAGGTGTCATCAAGTTGACTACAACTCATAGTGACCCAAGGAACAACAGATCAATGCCTTGTCCTATCCGGCACCATCCTTACAATCTCTACCATGTGCAAATCCACGGTTACAGTCTCTGCACCAGTCCATTTTGTTGAAGGCATTCCTCTCTTTAGCTGATCCTCCACCTTTCCCAGAATAGCCTTTTCCAAGGACTAGTGCCCCCTGAAATCAGGCCCAAAGTATGTGAGGCAACATTTCACCCATCTTTGTAAGAAGCACTAAAAATTGACTCAATGGCCATTTCATCTTCATTTATTAGAGTACTTCTTCATACTTTGTTTTGTTTTTTCCCTCTAGCACTGTCATGGATTTATTATTTTAAAAGAGATTTTTCCCCCCTTTAAAAGATATTTTCAAAGTCTTTTCAAGGACTTTAGGAAAGAACAGGAGGTAGAGCCACCTATTTATTTTCCTGTTGTTGTTAGGGGCCATCAAGTTAACTACATCTCACAGATAATTCAGGAACACCACCTCTGAGCCCTGCCCTGTCCTGGGTACCCTCATCATCCCTGACGTACTCCACTGACTGCAGTCCATTGCTACAGTCATTGTGTTGATCCATTTTGTGGAGGGCCTCCCTCATTTTCACTGACCATCCACCTTTCTAAGCATGATCTCGCTTTCCCAGTCATGGCCTCTCCTAGTAACATTCCCAAAGTCTATGAGACAAAGTTTCATCATCCTTGCCTCTAAGGAGCACCCAGGCTGCACTTTCTCCAAGACACATTCATTTGTTCTTTTGGAAGTCTGTGAGATATTCAATACTCTTCTCCAACATCACAACTCAAAGGCATCAATCCTTCTATCATCCTTATTATTCATTGTCCAACTTTCAGATGCACAGGAAACAAGGTTAAAAACCATGGCTTGAATCAGGTGCACCTTAGTCCCAGCACTTTGACAGCAAATTTCCCAGCGCATTGTGTCTTTTGATTTATTCATTGTTGGTACCAATGGTGTAGATTGTGGATCCAATAAAATGAAATTGTTAACAACTTCACTCTTCTCTTTCTATCAAGAAGTTGACTATTTGCCCAGGAGTAAGATTTTCGTGACATTGAGATATACTCCATATTGAAGGCTGTAGTCTTGATCTTCTGCAGGAAGAGCTTCAGGTCTTCACTCTCAGTGATCAAAACTGTGTCACTTCCATAATGCAGGTTGCTTAAGAGACCTCCACATATGATTCTTCTTCATAGAGTTCAGCTTTTTGTAATTTGCTTAGCATACAAACCAAACAGGTATGAAGAGAGGATAGAGCCCTGATGTGCACTATTCTTGATTTTAAACCAGGCAGTTTCCTTTGCTCTGTTTGGACAATAGCCTCTTGTTATAGGTTTCATATGAGCTCAATTAAGTTTGGGATTCTCAACTTTTCTCAAAGTTAGCCATACTTTTTTTATGATCTAAACAGCCTTCGCCTAGTAAAAAACACCCAGAAAACAAACCAAAACAACAACAACAACAAAAACCCCACAACCCACAAATAAATGACTTTCTGTTATTCTTTGCTTTCAGACAACATTCATCTGACATCAACAATGATGTTCTAGGTGCTATAGTCTCTTTTGAATCTAATTTGCATTTCTGGCAGTTCTCTGTTAATGCTTTAAGCCATTTTTGGATAATCTTCAGCAAGATGTGGTGTGATATTGTTCAATAATCTTCACATTCTTTTGGATCACCTTTGTGTGTGTGTGTGTAGAAAAAAAAATATGGATTTCCTGTATCCAACTCCCATATTTAAATATGGCCAAGTGTTACATAGCAGCTTACTACGGCCTTTATTTCTCATAAATTGTGATCTGAGGGAGGTGGTGATGTCAAATTTGTAATTATGATACAATACAGTTTGAGCAATAACGATTAGAAAATGGGAAAGTAGTGCTGTCTGATAGAAAAGGCCCTAAGATCCTCTGGAAAGGGGCTTCAGACTCCCTAGGAAAGGGTGTACTCTATGGGGAATGCTGGAGTAGGCTTTATAAAACACCTGGTCCAGGGCTAGCATAGGTAGTTGTCATCAACTGGTTCTGGACTCAGTGGCCTGAGCCTGTGATGAATAGGAAAGTGAGTAGAAGCCAAGGGTCATAATTAGAATCCAGATGAAAAGGAAGAAGCAGGGCAGCCACGAGCAACATTCCCTTGCGCAGCTGTTAAGGAGGCAGGTGGCCTGCTAGAAAGCATGAGAGCTCAAGTGTGTTGTACTCATGCTTTCTAGGCTGCACATCTTTGTCTAACTGAGAATGAAATGGACTCCATTTAAAAATATCGTTCTAATATAGTAGTATGTTTTGTATACCACAGAGTAGAAACCAACCCTTAGCTGACCCTCTGGTGGGTTTTCAGAGGCAATAAATCGCTCAGGAGGAGATTAATCACACTGGAGGACACTGCCCATGTTTCTCCCGTGGAGCAGCTGGTGGATTTGAACCACATGGCTTTGGGATTGCAGCGTAGCACCTTACCACTAGGTCATCAGAGCTCAATACAGTCATATAGTTCTCCTAGTACAGAGCACTCTGGTGGCTTTGTGGTAAGGAACTGTGTTGGTAACCAAAAAGAACTCAGTTTGAATCCAGCTGTTTTGTGAGAAAAAGATGGGCAATATCCTTCAGTACAATTTACTGCCTCTGAAAACCCACTGGAGGGTCTGCTATGAGTAGGTTCTACATCGATGGTACTCAACAACAACAAACAATAATATAGTAAAAGGGAGCTCTGGTGGCTTAGTGGTAAAGAATTGAGCTGCAAATGCAAACGCAAATGCGTGGTACACAACATCAACAACAATATAGTAAATTGGTAGAGACACACTAGGTAATCAATGCCTCTATTTATTTTATCAGGAAATGGGGCCCAGAGAAGTCAGTTGCCTTTGCAGGCTTGGATTAAAGCCAGTAGAATTACCATGGTCAGTGAGGTAACTGATGGTGTCATCTACCATGGTGAGTGGGGCTGGCAGGCAAATCTCCCTCCATAGGCAGAATGGTTGGCTCTAGCCTCACTCCTACCCCAGGCAGGGCAATAGCCTGTCTTCTAAACTTCACTGCAGCTCTCTGGCTACTTCCCCCCCGCCACCCTAGTGGCCACGGTGAGACCCTCCTTTTGGCTCAATGGAGGCTGCCTCAGTCAACTCACATCCTGACTGGTGGGTGACAGTGATGGTTAAGAGACTGCCGATGGAGGTGATGCAGGGGTGGTACTGGTGACAAGGTAGTGCACTAGATAACAGGTGACACCGACCCTGGCGATGCCACTGCCTTGGTGGCTCTTCCCGTGGCAGTGCCAGCTTGCCCAACACTACTGCAAACCCTGGAGTCAGTTTGGTGTTACTCTCTCTGATAGTGTCAGGGGATGCCACCCACGTTCCTTGCAACCTTCTAGGGACACCACTGATTTAAATTTGTTCAGATTCTTAACAGAGGTTCATTCTCTAATTTTGCCCCTTCATGGTTTTGGAGAGTTATCAGCAGGTATACAGTGGGTTGTTCAAAGGAAAGTAATAATAATCATGAAATTCTTCATTCCTTAGTCAGACAAGGGTGGTTCGGGTTCTCTTTCCCCCAACTCCCTGCATCACGCAGACGTGCGGTAAACACCATGTCTTCAGAGACCCACCTGAAGAGGAGTAGCACAGCTTGAGGGAAAGTCTGAAAGTTGTTGTTCCGATTGATCTCTGTGGTGTCATTCAGGGCAATTTTTCCAAACACCTAGTAGAAAGGGGAAAGAAGGCTTTGGTTAGCGGTGACAGAGAAGCCTCCCATTCCCACTCACTGCTCAGTGGACTCTTCAGGGGTCACAACTGACCATGGAGCAGGAACGGCTGGTACATAAGTTACAGTCACTTGATGCCAAGTCACCTGATCACGTAATTTCAGGAGACAGGCATTTGCGCTTTTCCTGGCCTCCCATCCCAATTCTCCACAACAGAGAAATGTAAGATGTCTCACAGGTCCTCCAGGAAAGTCCCTGTGGGCCAGTGGAGCCGGGAGCTAAGATTAGGTGGACACTGAGACTGAGTGGACACTGAGCCTGGGTTTCTAATAGTAAGAAGGACTCATGGGCCTCCTTTTCTTGGTTATTTTATCTCTGTATCCCAAGCACTCTTTCACATTTAATTCTTGAATTTTGTGGTGCTATGTCAAATTCACCTGAAGTCTTGTAAAGTCTTGTAAAGTTACATTCAGTCATCTTAGAAATGACCATCCTTTATCAAATGGCTAGTAGCTCTTTGAATCTCTGAGGGCTTTTCCCTGTGAGCCTTTGGGCCTTTCTGAAATGGCACGCACATGGGAGCCTTACGGAGCTGTGAGGACTCTCCCTGCTGGTGTGCAGGGTGAGGCTGGAAGTTCTTTCATGTGGAGCTCTGCTGAGGCCCTGAAGGGAGGCGGGAGTAGTCCTGAACATGGGCAGGAGAAGGTGTCCTGAGAGGCGAGATGCCAGGAGACTGCCAGATGTTCGAAGGGACAAAGCTTTCCTTCCCTCTTCTCCTCTCTTCCTCATCTTTTAATTTTTCCTTCCCCTTACTATCTTTCTCATTTTCTCCTCCTCTTCTTCCCTTCATCCTTTTATTCTTCTCTGTCCTTAGCTTCTCCTGAATGACACAGGGTTAGGCGAAGTCTTCAGGCTCATGTGGAGGCCTAGAAAATATGACGATGCTCTTCAGGAATTTCCTTTTGTGGTTACCTCTGAAAGCTCTGTATCCATCTGGAGGCCCACTACAGAATTTGGGAGTGCTTCACCTACCAGGAAGGAGCTCTGGTGGCATGTTATTGTTGTTAGGTGCTGTCCAGTACAGCTCAGTGACCCTATGAACGACAGAGTTAAACCCTGTCCTATCCTGTGCCATCCTCCCAAACTCTGGCACCCTCAAGTTCATTGCTGCAGTCACTGAGTCCACCTGGTTGAGGGTCTTCCTCTCCTTCACTGTCCCTCCACCTTCCCCCATACGATGCCCTTCTCCAAGGAATAATCTCTCTTCCTCTCTTAGCAACATACCCAAAGTATGTGAGACAAAACTTCATCATCCTTGCCTCCAAGAAGCATTCTGGTGCATCTTCTCTAAGATGTATCTGTTTATTCTTTGGTCATCCATAGATATTCAGTACTCTTCTCCAATACCACAATACATTTTGTGTTGCTAACTAAAAGATCAGTGGTTCAAATCCACCAGTCAAGAATCCCTTGGGAACGAGATGGGTAGTCATAAAGGTTTTACAGTAAATTTGCTATAAGTCAAAATCAACTTTATGGCAGTATGGCAGTAGGATTTTTGTCATTGTTGTTGATTTCCCTGGGAGCAGAGCCCAGGCTTGGGGCCATGGAGAGAGGAGCTCTTTAGTTTCCTTGAACTGCATTCGGCCCTTTTTTGCCTCAGAAGGTAGAGGAGGGGGAAGGAAGGAAAGAAAGAGAGAGAAGGAGTTAGGAGAGGAGGGAGGCAGGGCACTGGGAAGAGACAAGGGTGACGCAAAGCAGCGGCTGAGTGATGATGGGCAGACTCTTCCTACCTGCATTCCGATTACAGCGTAGATGAAGAACAGCATCACTATCAAGAGAGCCACATAGGGCAGGGCCTGGAAGGAAGCACAGACACTGCTGTGAGGCCATGACATCTCTGAGAGGACAGGCAGGCCCCTATGGTGGGGCCCATTACAAAGGCGCACACCCTCCTTCCTCTCTGCCACCATGTGCTGCTGCCTGGCTTACTGGGGAAGGTGGAATGATTGCCAAGAGCCCTACAGAAGTCTGGGAAAGGGGCCTGAGACATGCCCACTACGTTCTCATTTTAGCTTGATTGTCGTCCTCTGGAAGCAGTGTGGTGTGCTGAGAACGGCAGGCTGCAGAGTGACGGATGTGATGTGACATCACTTTGGTAAGGACAAGAATGCCCGACACCTCCCTGGACTACTGTTATGAGAAACAGTTGTAATTCTCCTAGAGTCCAGATTTCTAGGTTTATGGGTTTGGGTGACCCAGTCAGGCCAGTTGCTCACAGGTGTCCTTTTGAATCTGTCACCTTTAGGAAGTGTTTGCTTAAAGTAATTTTTAGTCAGCCATAGCCTGGTATAACTGGCTGTGCACAGACAATTCTCTAAGAGAGCCCAATGCCTGAGGCAAAACAGCATCATCATGCCTGAGGAACCGGGCTCTTTTGGAGAATTACCTATGTGCGGCCACTTCACCGGAGCAGGAACCCTAGAATTTAACTAGGAAATGTATGGCATCACTATTTCTCTAACTGACTGACCCTGGACCCTGGGTCCCTGAGAAAGGACATGGCCATGACCTAGAATAACCTGCTGCTTTATCCTCTCCTCATAGCACCTTCCAAATCAGCGTAGATTGATGCTGCCCCATGGGAATCACACCTATTCCCAATAAATGCACGCAGTTACACTGATTTTCAGTGTTTTCTGATGCATTTAGGTTTTTGACAGCATAGTTGTCTCAAAAAAAGACAGAGACAAAGAGATACAGAACTAGTTGTGGTTCCCTCTGGAGACAGGTTACCATCTCATTCTTAAAGAGCTTTACATTGTTTTACTAGCTGTAATGAGCAATTATTACAATTGTATGAAAAACATCTAATAAGGACAAACTTAGAAGAAAGATCATGGGCACAAGTATAATTTCTGCTACTCACTAGCTGTGGGAACGTAGGCACATAATCTTTCAGAGTCCCTGCTATCTTGTCCAGAAAATGAGAATAATGATTAACTATCTCTGGAAGATTGTGAACATAAATTATTTAAGACACATAAAGAGCTCAGTGCACATAACAGGACGGCTCAGACAACTCAGCTTCCTAGAGTCTGCAACTTTTCTGGAGCGAGTTATCAGGAACACTCAATGCCAGTTCCTGAGATAGATGTCTTGAATGAAGGCGAAAATGCTTTGCTGAATCTATTCTATCACTAGATGGCACTGCTAGATCATAGAGCAGCTTTGCCAGGCAGGTTTGAATTCCTGCTCTAAATTCAAGAGCACTCTTGGTTACTTTAGTAACGGGTATGGGGAGTGAAGGTTTGTTGGGTTATGGGTATGCTGAAGGCATCAGAACCCTGAATCCTGCTCCCACCAGGACTGATGGTATCAGGATCCCCAGAGAGACCCCAGGGGGCTGAATCAGGCAAGGATAGGAAATCTTGAAGAAGGCAGGCAGGACTGGGAGAAGGGTGGAGCAAGTGACAGAATAAGCTTGGTGTGAGGTGGGGAGGGTACATCAGGGTTTGTGGAACCGCATGAGATCTTATTCCTCAAGCATGATCAGTGAGGGGGGCCTACAATCACCACCTGCTGGTTTTGATAATGCTCAACTCCATCCTGGCCACAGATTCTGGAGAGGAAGCAGGCTACTCCTCAGTCTCTCATGCATCCCCTGGGTCTTTTCTCTACTACAGATGCACAGATCCTGGACAGAATTGGTGTGCAGGCTAGTGATACGGAGAGGGAAGAGATGGGTAAAGGAAGTTCACTGATCACAAGCCATTCCATGCCCGTATCATGCTGACTGAGGAGAGACATCTTCTGGGCTAACTGGTTCTTCTAAGAGAGTGGGTGAGTGAGTGAGTGAGTGAGTGAGTGAGTGAGTGAGTGAGTGAGTGTGTGTGCGTGTGTGCGCGCATGCGCATGCGCACATGTTGGAGGGCAAGGCGCTGAACTTGAGTGACTGGATGAGGCCTGAGGATGTGTGGCAAATACATTTCCATTTTCCTCCTTCTGAAATTAGGTTGATAGAGGTTGATAGTTATTTCCTTTGACACAATCATACACACATTTGCATGTTTTCATCTTTTGTCATGTGAATTCCTGGGAGGGGAGGAATTAATTGGTGGGCTGTGTGTATGTGTCTTGAACATTTATATTGTAAGCTACTTTAGATGTGGGTGGCATCTTCCACTGTTGCAGCACTCGCCTCCTGCACATAGAGCCAAACACCTGGGAAGGGACTCACGGGAGCATCTCTCCCTTCCTAGGCATGGAAAGGTCAGGAGGACTGTGCATGACAGGGCAGTAACAGTGCACTGTAGGCCTTTCTCACTTGAGAATCATCTGTGAGTGGAAGGAGCCTTGTGGGAAGGGTTTCTGGAGGGCTCAGAGCCGGGAGAAGCAGAGAACCCAGGAGGAAAACCCTCTGTCAGGCTAACAGCTATGTCCAGAGCCACAACTCACCTTTAAGTCCAGAGTCTGCTGTGGCCAGGTTGAGGACTGGTTATTGGGAGGACAGTCAAGTAGGGTGTCGGGGCGTGGCTAGACTAGAACCCAGAGTCCCTTGGTGGCCAGTCCAGTAAACAGTTAAAGAGCCACAGTGATAAGTCCCAGGGCAGGTGGCTGCACAGAAGGACATACCTTTAGAACGAGACTTTGAAGCAGGATTGACAGAGTCCCTGTCCTAGGCCAGCAGCTACAACCACATGGCACATATGGACCAGACACCTTCTCTGGCCTGGCCAGGGGAGAGACACAGAGGCCATTCTCCAGGGCTGGTGTGTGTCTTTGTCTTGGGTGGTGTGAGAATGATATTTGCATGAGAGGAGAGAAGCTTGCCTTAGTGTCAGCCCAAAAGTGAAAAGCTACACTTAATGGCTTTTGCAGCCCTGATAGCACAGTCGTTACAGGGCTCAGCTACTAACCAAAGGAGGGAAGAGGTGGAAGTCAGTCTCTTGGACCATCACAGCCTTGGAAATCCTATAGGGTGGTCCTCATCTGTCCTAAGGGATTTCTATGAGTTTAATCAACTTAATGGCAATGATGTGAGGGTTTTTTTTTTTTAAATTTTTTTAAAATTGTTGTTGTTACGTCATTTATCTTTAAGGAATCCACGTGAACTAACAGCGCTTTGCTGCTTTTTAACTTCAGCCTTATATAACACTCCTCAGAGCCAGGGGCAATAATGGTTTTGTTTTTACAGATGGAAAACTGACTGATGAGAAAAAGAGACTTAATTATGAAGTTAGGCAATCCTGTGCCCCTACACGCAGATGCTCTCCCCCTTCAGAGGGGGTGATGGCTAGGGTCTCCAAGACCATGTGAAGTGTAAAAACAGGTTTGGACTACAGATGTGGCAGGAATGGTGACAGCCAGCTCTAAATATGCTACAACTGGAAGGGCCAACAAGGCTTGGGATTATCAGGGAGACTGACTCTCAGATTTCCCAATGTGTTCCACACCACAAACCCGCTCTATCCAGCAGAGGTTTGCAGAGAAATGCACGAGAGGGGAGAGCAGAACCCTCTCTGCCTCCCTTCACCTCCATTCTGTTCCCTGCCCTGACTCTGAGGAAGTCCAGGGCTCTAGGATCATGCTTTCAAAGACCACAAATCTAGCTTGACCATCTCATTTTAAGAAATGAGGAAAGCACGACTCATAGAGGCCGAATGGATAACACACAGCTAGCTAAGTGGCAGCTCTCTGGTTGTTTGAGTCCTAGAGTGTCCATCCCCCTGTCCCATCACACCCCCCCCCATCCATGACACCTGGCTCAGGAGCCCCAGGTGGAAGCCCCTTGTCCATCCCTCCTTCTCACGAGGTAAGGAGGCTCTTCTCCTTCGGGCTGTGCTCTGGGTGGGAAGGTGCGGCGCGGGCTACCTGGAAGGATTTGATGAAGGTCCACAGCAGGGTCCGGATGCCCTCCCCGCGGCTCAACAGCTTGACCAGGCGCATGACCCGGAAGAGGCGGAAGAAGGTGATGGAGATGCGGGAGTTCTCCTCTGCATTCTGGAATCCATTGGCAATAGGAGGTAGTAGTTAACACAGCATTAGAGAAGGGTAGGGCAAGAAGTGGGTGGGCCCTGCTCTGAGAAACACAGCCCTTGGTTGGGGAGAGGGCAGGCTGGGGCTGAGGTCAGCTGCACTTGACTATATCTCCTTTGGTCCCTATGTAGGAGGTTGGGTATCTATCTTTTCTGGATTAAAAAACCACACAAACCCAGCCCTATGGTCTCTGCAGAGACAAGCTATGCCTAGACCCCTAACCTCGTGGCCCTATTTTTTTCCTATGCTCCCCTCTTCACTCATAGTTCTTAAACCCTTGGATGGAGCAACAGATGATTCCAAAGGAGCCTCTGTATGTTTGGAAATCTTCTAGGTACAGAGCCAGCTGCTCTTTGTGCAAACAGCACTTGATGCTCACTCAGGAGGTGGCCCCATCTCCTCCCTTGCCTGGCTTCACTGGAGCTCCTCATCTGTGGAGAACCTGCCTTTCTGTGGGGACTGGCTGAGTGGATGACCCCTTATTGCTGTAGATTTACGAATGATCCCACTGGGGTCTGGGTAGGCAGAGTGGGATGAGGGCTCAAGGCACGTGCCCTGTCTTCTCGGAAGGCAGCATTTCTCTGTTACCTGTCTTATCTGCTGTGGTCCCTGCCATAGGCTGGTCTTTTGGTAAGGACCTGGGAAAGTGTTCCGTTTGCATCCCATGCCTTCCTTAGAGGAGGATAAGGAGACCCTGGACATAGCTAGGATTTGGGTAATTCCCAGCCTGGGCTTCCCTGCTATCCTCTGCTTCTGCCGTCCTCTTGCCATACCTGGGAGTGAAGGGGTGGGTAGTACCCCTCCTCTAGGACTAGTGCAGCTCCCCCAGCCCCACCCCAGCCTCTCCCACTGTCAGCACCAGGAGAGAACGGACCCTCTGAGTTTCCTGTTACAGGCCCCATCATGCCTCACTCAGGCGGGAAAGAGGTCTGGATTGTCCCTGGGATTCTGGAGCAGCCTTCACCTCTGCTTGCCCTAACTTCACCTTTCTTTTTGCGCCACTGTTGATTTCTGGGACAAATTCTCCTCGACAGCATTCATGCCTTGTTGGCATCCTCTGAGGATGTCACAGGCACCAAAAACCTCCCCCTATTTAAACCCTGTGGCTGCTGTGACCACCACTGTCATGGCAGGAAGGACCTGAAGGTCACTCATGTCACTCCTCCAGAATGGGCAGATCACCGGGGGCAGAAAAATGCAAATGCAAAGGCGGCTGTTCCACACCAGAGTGCCTACCCTTTACCCCTGGAAGCAGGCCAAAACCAAGCCGTGAGGGTCTCTCATGGTTTTCAGATTGTCCAGAAACACATCTTTTCTTTGCATATAAATCAGAGTTCTGCAGCAGCTCCTAGAGCCCCTGCTCCTGTGTAGGGAGGGGGCGGACTCCCGAGTGCTTGGGCCTGCCAAGCAGGGCTGGAGGGGCTGGCAGCGAGCTGAGGGGGCAATCAGGAATCGTGGCCCTGCCCTTGTGTATTCTGAAACCTTTGATGCCCTTAATCTTTGCATTTCTGGCACCTGTGTATCTACTTGAAATTCTATTTTCTCTCCTTAAAAGGAGGTTGTATTCCCCCTGAGGAGTATGCAGAGAAGGCTTAGGGTTTTATAACTCGGCTGTCAGTTCCACCATGCTTGAGAAAGGAGGAAAAAATAAGAAAGAACAAGCTTAAACGGGGAACTTCAGTTGCCAGTGTCAAGAGTTTGAGAAACTGGGGCCACAGGGGTATCTGGATCTGATGAGTGAAAAGGGAAAAAAATCTTGCTGCCGGAACTCCAGTGGTGCATTCTGAAGCCTCCTCAGTTGCAGCATTTTCTGAATGCTTCTCCGGGAGAAGGACGAGCACATTTCCATTTGGATACTACCATTTCGTCTAGTAAACTAAATGACAGTAAGATGAAGAAGTAGGTTCAAGTGACTGGTGATGTGAAGAGTGGCAGAATACTCAAGAAATCAGCCTTTCCCTTGGCTGCCTTTCAACAAGGCTGGGATGGCTGTTTTGGGGAGCACCACCACCTGATCCATTTGTGCCCCCGGTGTGCTCATTAAAGGACTCAGGGCATCAATCCATGGATCCTTTCATAAAAATACATGTGGACCTGTTTTGAAGTGTGTGCCTGCAGCATTTTGGGGGAGGCCTTCCCAAGGAGACTCCAAGGTCATCTTATGTAACATATTGGTCACTTTAGCTAAACCAGGTCCTAGACTCCTAGATCAGAAATGATCTGATCAAATAATCTAGACCTATTCTCTGTTTCTAGCCTGTTGCAGACAAGCAGTGATAACCTAGTTTTAAGAATCATTAAGAATTTAGAAAACTTAAGTGTTACATGGTTGGAGTGACCAGGATTTCTACCACTGTCTCAGCAACAAAACCCAGCTTCAACCCTTGACTGTGAACTTGGGCTCAGAGCACAAGGCGGGGGGCTCATAGTCTGACCCTCTTAAGGATGCTTGGAAAGCTGATTGTCTATCTTTCAGTCTCCAGCCTAGATCTCTGTCTTTCTTCCTGTCCCTGGCTCTCACAGGTGCCTTCTACAAATTGTCCACAGCAGATTAAAGTTAGCGATTTTAGCCAGCAACTCTTCAGGGTGTTAAACAGGAAATGACCCTTGGGTCCAATTCTCTCCCAGTGGCTCATTAGACAGTCAGGATCACAGTGAATTATCACCCAAAGGAAAGCTTAGGGAGGTAAAAGAACACCATTACACAAACAGCATTTTCACAGCTTACAAAAGACCAGGCAGGCAAGGCACATCACAGACACGGTGGCTACATGCAACAGGAGCTAGGCTGGGCTCCAAGAAACTCTTAGGGTTGGAAATGGGTCAGAGTGGGAAGTGTTAGAAGGGGTCACAAAAGCTGGGAGCGTGGTCTGGAGGATCGGTCTTACCATAGAGGGAGAGCATTGGGTATGTTCAGCTGGCTTTAAAGAAAGGCAGATAGAGATAAGCTGTAATGAGTCTCCAACGAAGACGCCCGGTATTCTAGGTCTTGGCTAACACAGGAGCAACACAGTGGCAGAAGAGGGCAAAAGGAAACAAGTGAAAGAAACACAAAAGCGTAGGCCTGGCAGGTTCCGGGGCATCCCCAGGAGCGTGAGCTCTGCGTAGCTGGGTCCCATGTTTAACAAAGGCCCAAGAGGCTTCCTCTTACCTGTGACCATCACTGGCCACAATTTATATAACTCACACCTGTTACAGATGAGTAGATGAGGTCTTCTGGATTTCATTGATGGAGGTGTTTGGGTTTTTTTAAAATTATTATTTCTATTAACTGTGTGTTAGATATTCTCAGATAATCTTTAAGGGTCTGAACTTTAGCTTAAACTAGGCAGTGTCAACAGAATGAGAAAGGCATTGCCTGTCCTTGGTCAGAGATTTATAAGGCAAAGAAGCTCAAGGGCAAGGGTCTCTTAGGTTTGAGGATGACTGAATTCTAGTTTTCCATGAAGAGAATCAGAAGAGATACTCCAGCCACCTCCACACAGGAGGCCAAGGATTAAATGTAGGGAGGAGTTGGTCCTTTTCACCCATTATTCTACGAGTATGGAGAACACTGGCCATTAACATGAAATAAAGTGACTTTTTTTTAATTCTTGAAAGTCATGCACACAAAGTTAGGATATTATCATTATTAATATCCTAAAAAGATGTCCTCATATGTTTGCCTACAGAACTCATTTTGGGATAAAACTTGAGAAACTGGCCTCAGAGGAGTATCCCTGTGCCAACCCTCTCGCTAGTTCCTTGAGGCTGTATCCTTGTTAATGTCCCCACTCTCTGGGTTCATGCTCAAAGAACTTGGCCCTCAGCTTATCTCGACTATCTGAGCTGTTAACTCTACAAGATTAAGACTTGCTTTTACCCTCCACTTTCAGATGGTTGCTCTTGTGTTTCTGTTTTCAAAATACAACAAGGAAAACATGTAAGGGCAATTTAAAGGACAGAAATGTGCACAACTAGACATTTTCTTGCAGACTGAAAATATTTCTTGGGTAACAGATTTCTAAGCTGTCTTTTTCCATCCACAGCAAATTGGTAGGATATCCTTATTTGGGAAAGGTGGTAACAGAGACAGCATGAGGATGGGGAGGAGAAGGAAAGGATTCCTTTCCATCACGTAAAGAACAAATCTCAATTTCCGTTTCATGAAGATTACCAGCTGCTAGGTCAATCCACTTGCCTGAAATGTGTGGGGCCAATAGAAGTTAGCTAGCAGGCTGAGATAACACACAGACACAGATCACTCACACACACACACACACACACACGGAATGTCATGTCCAGGCTCCAAAATGTCCTTTCCAATGGTATGTGACAGTCACCACAATGGTCAGGGCTAGACAGAGCTAAAGCATCCTCTTCTCCTCCCTGACTGGCCAATGCATCTTCTCCTGTGTCACTGGGTAAGAGCATTTCTTGGGTTTCTATGGGGAGGAAGTATGAAGGTCAGAGAGAGGTCAATCTACACTATCCAAATGCCAGAGTATTAGGCAGAACTCCAAGAAAGTTAGGTCACTTCTGCCACCTAGCGATTCACCTGGAAAACCATTAAAACTGCCCAGTGGAGGGTCTCCTTACCAGAACTGGACCACAATGGAGACAATTTAGAAAACCCATCCAGGTTAATGCGTTACAGAACTAACCCTTTCTGCTGCTATTAGTTGCTATGGAGCTGATCCTAACTCATGGAAACCCTATGTGTTCAAGTGTGGAACGGCTCCATTGGTTTTGTTGACTGTGATGTTTACAGAATGAGATATTCAAGTCTTCTGTGATATCGAGGGTTTGAAATGCTAATCATTAGGTAAATGATTAAATGCAAATCATCTGTGCCACCTACAGTCTCGACTAATTATTAGCCATGTTAAAAAATTAAGCCATTTATTTTATTTTTAAACATTATGATCCCTTTAAAATTTTGCAATTTAAAAACTTTCATCTTAGCTGCCTTTTATAGTATCCACTTGAGATCTCAAGAAATTAATTTAAAAAATTAATTAATTTTTAAACATTTAAACCATCTTTCATGTCAAAATCCAGCTATCAGTCATTCTAACCACCTTGATATATTTTATTATTTTCATAAAATTTTCATAAAATTGTGATTGAGTTGGAACCAACTCATAGCTGACCTCCATCAGGTTCTCAGAGGCTGTCCTGCAATGCTAGCATGTATCGACAGAATAATTCTTATGATATGTCTGTATGAGAGGAGCCTAGAAGAAATCAGGAGGAACTATGAGGGCAGTGGAAAAAAGATAAGAGCTTTCTGGCAACCCTACAATGGGTTTCCCAGGCAATCATAGTTCTCTGAAAAGCCTCACTAGGGGAGAAATGGGAGATTCACAAATGAATTTTTTTTTTAAAAAAAAAGTCTTAATGTATGCTGTTCAGAATGTACTTCTGACTTGCAATGTTGTCTACTAACATCTCACACAGGTCTGTCCTTATGTAAGGAACTGTGTTTATAAGGTCTGTGGTCTCAAAAAGTAAATAACCATTTGATTTGTGGTAAAAGGTACAAATATCTGAGTAAAAAAACAAATGCAAGCAATCACTGAGTGATTTCTGCGTGAGAATAATGTGAAGAAGCATGAGAACTTAGTCTCTCTCTGAGACCCCATAGTCGCTGCTGCTGTGAGGTGCCACTGCTATGATTCATAGCAGTCCTATGACCAACAGATATGAACTTTCCCTATCATGCACCATCCTTAACTGCCTCTGGTATGCTTGACTCCACTGTTACAGTTACTGTGTCAATACATTCTGTGGAGGGATACACTGTTGTTGTATGCTGTCTCACAACCAACTCATAGCTGACTCTCCAGTGGGCTTTCAGAGGCAATAAATCATACACTGATATACTATTAGCCCTTAAAAGGATCTTGCCAGAGGAAGAAGAATTTCTGGTGAGCTAGAAGTGGAGACTGGACCAACTGGGATTTGGATTGCTGATGTCCCAAGACCGACACCTGTAGCCCAGAGATCATGCTTGAGTTGTTTGCCACTTTCTTCTCAATACCTAGTATGGTGCTTTGAGAAATTGCCTAGCCCCAGCTCGACTTGATCTAAAAATAAAATCAGTTGATAGTCTGATCTTCCTGTTCCATCAATCTCTGACCCTTTCCTTGATTTTCTACCTACTCCCTTAAATTATAGTTTCTCTGTCTAGAGTCTTCCTGAGAGGTGAGAAGTGGTAAGATTCTCTGAAGATTGGTGCCCTATGGAGTTGGGGAATCTTTCTACATATCCCTTCTACAGTGAGTCTACAGAGTTGCTCACCTCATCTGAGCATTCTGGTTGAAATTTAAGATGGCCCTGTTTCTGTCACTGGAAGGTTATCGAGCAAATTTTTAAACAGTCAATGCTTTAATTTTGGTTTTCTAATCTAGTACATTTCAAAGGTTTCAAGATGTTAGGGCAATTAATGTATTCATGCAATTAGCATAAATTAAAGAATCCTGGCTAGTTGCAGGTAACAAGCTTTGGGCAAATAGAAAGGAAAGTCTCAATTACTTAAGTATACTTATGTAGATGACCTTAGTTTGGTCTAACTGGGAATAAGAGTAGTACTAGACTGAGGATAAAAGAGAGTCTCTGGAAAGCTGTCTTTCTGAACTAAGTTTGGGGTCCAATTAGAAGTTACATCTCAGTGAATGTACTCACTATTCCTTTTCATGGGGCAACTTTATTCACGGCATACTTAGGAAGCTGATGGATGAAACTCAGGGAATACCAGAGAGCCAGCACAGAAAGGGTAGAATAGACTTTTCCCAAGAGGATGAGTATGAGAGTCAGTGCAGTGCGTCTCCTCGTGGCCCTCTTACACCATCTCTTTGAAAAATTCAGAGATAACAACAACAAAAAAAGCTTTTAACTACGTAAAACTGAGGAGTTTAATTTTAGTATAGCCAGAAAAGTCAATATTCCTAGAGAATTAGAGGTTATGCAGTAGATATCTAGCCTATTCAACACAGTTACCTTCATGAACATTCTCTTGAGGTTCAGGTGGTTAAAAGAACTTTCTGATTGAATCTGAGCCCACTGGTGCACCTTCCCTTCCTTGTGGACACTGAAATGTGCAGGGTACTTCCGACTCCCTCTATGATCCCTAATCTCACCTGGATGGGTCATGAATAGACCCTACAGGATTGGGTTGTCCCATCTCAAGGACAGCAAATGAGACACTAATCGTAATCTCAGGGTCACTCACTTGCACATTCTTCTGAAATAGGGGTCAAAATAATGTCATGTTCTATATGAATCTTTGACCTTACTATGGCCTCCCTGTTGTTAGGTTGGTATTATTTATATACACTGATTGTTAGGTTGTTAAGTACCATAGAGTAGGGTCCAAACTCATAGCAACAAAAAAGTACAAAAACCAGTACAACAGAAGGAAATTCTCCCCGACGCTGCCCCATTTTCCCCAATCTCTGCTTGCTTCAGCCCACTGGTGCAGTCAGTATGTCAATTCACTCCATTGAGGGTCTTCCTTTCTTTTGCTGACACTATACTTTTCCAATCATGATGTCCTCTTCCTTCTCAAGAAGCATGTCCCTGAAGAAATATATACCCTTTGCTTTTTTGTGTCCAGACTTTAGGGGATCATTCTAAGAAAAATTAAATTCAAAATCAGAAGATCTGGACCCAATAGACACCCCCCAACCTTCATCCTCCAAGCTCCGTGTCTCTGCTGTCACTATCCCTAATCTCATCTCGACTTGAGCTGCAAGTTAAGATTATCTAGTTCAGTTGAGTGTCGTGGTGCAGTGGACAAGTGGGGAGTTGGGGGCTTTGTTGGTGAGACACTGGAGTTAAACTAGATGGTCAGGACGGCTATTAGGTCTGAACAAGGAGAACTGGGAACGGTAGGAGTTAGCAGCTTCTGGAGACATATGACACCAATGACACAGCAAGT